AAAAAAAAAAGAAAATATATAGTATCATATAAATGTATTTCTCTATTTAATAAATATTAATTATATGCACTGGAGATTCAACATTGAATGAAATGAACAAAAATTCTGGTCTTCATGGAGCTTACATTTTAGGGTAGGCACAAACAGAAAAATAAGTAAGTAAGGACAGTCATGCATTGCTTAACAATGGGAATATGGCAATGTTGTTGTCTTACAAACATCATAGAGTGCATTTACATAAACCTTGATGGTACAGCCTATTACTTATAGGCAATACCCTATCTGTGGTAGCTATAGTTCTACAAAATGCATTTTTTAAATAACAAAATGTGAATGTCTTTACTCATTGATCCATGGGCTACAGAATGGATGCTGTGTTAGCAAGCATGAAAACAACATTAATCTGGTGCATTTTAATTAGAGCTCTTGAGTGACAAGTTGCCTTGTCAAAGAGTGGTACTATGTAGTTCTAGAAGGAAATTAAAAGTGCTATTCTAGTAAACACACAAATCATAAGCAAGTGAAACAGCCGTACTGCTGATATGGAGAAATAAAGACCTTTTTTTTTTTTTTTTTTTTTTTTTCTGAGTAGTAGGTCTCAACAGTAAGTTTAAAATATTTGGGAAACTATGCTCTAAACAGATATGCTGTCATTCAGTCTTTGTTCTTCCATTTATGGCACATATGCAGAGTAGATTTAGCATAATTCTTAAGGGCCACAGGATTTTTGAAATGACAAATTCGCATTGGCTCCAATTTAAAGTTACGATCTGCATTAGCCTCTAACAAGAGAGTCAGGCTATCCTTCCAAGATTTGAAGCTAGGCATTGACTTCTCTCTAGCTGTGAAAGTCCTAGATGCTATCTTCTCCCAACAGAAGGCTGTTCTGTCGAAACTGAAAAATCTGTTGTTTAGTATAGCCACCTTAGCAATTACCTTAGCTAGATCTTTTGAGTAACTTGCTGCAGCTTCTTCATCAGCATTTGCTACTTCACCTTGCACTTTTATGTCGTAGAGATGGCTTTCTCTCCTAAACTTCAGAAACCAACCTCTGTTAGCTTTAAACTTTCCTTCTGTTGTTTTCTCACCCTTCTCAGCCTTCATAGAAATGAGGAAAATTAGGGCCTTAATCTGGCGTAGTCTTGGGCTTAAGAGAATGAGGCTGATTTTATCTTCTATACAGGCCATTAAAGCTTTCTTCAAGTCAGCAACAAGGCTGTTTCACTTTCTTATGATTTGTGTATTCACTGGAGCAGCACTGAGGAAATAAAATGAGTGATCATAGAACAGGTCAATGTGAAGGTAATATTTGAGCCAAGACTTGCATCATAAGCAGAGAAAACAGCAAGTGACCTGCATGCTCAGACAATATCAAGGAATTCTATGAGCCTGAAACATAATGAACAAGGAAGGGAAGATTAGGAGAGGTCAGAGTGACTAAGGGAATTGGAGAACTGGGGGAAAGAGAGAACTGATCATCTAGGTTCTTGTTAATAAGTATAACAACTTTGGATATTATCCTTGGTGAGGTAGAAGACACTGGAAGGCTTTCAGCAAAGTAATTTGATCTGTCATATTTCAAGTGGACTGCTATGGCTTCTGTGTTGAGATGAGACTGAAGGAGCAAATGGCAGGCAGATGTTATGAGGCTATGTCAATGACTCAGGGAAGAGAGCATAGTAAGTTTGACAAATAAGTAGCAGAAAAAGTGGTAAACAGTCAAGATTCTGGAATGATTGTGAAGGTAGCATGCACAGGGATTTCTTATGGGTTATATTTGGGATGTGAGAGAGGTCAAGGTTGACATGTTAGTGACCTTGACTAATTGGAAGAACAGAGTTTTCATTAACTGGCATATGGAAGATTGTAGAAGGGGAAGGTTTTGGGGGATGTATATAATGGGAAAATCAGAAACTCAGTTTTGGGAATGTCAGGTTAGTGATGCCTTCAGACATTTATGTGGAATGGTTGAATAGGCAGATGAATATTTAAGCCATCTGCATGGTGATAGCATGTGAAGTCTTGAGGCTAAAAGAGGCCACTAAAATTAATACAGAGATAGAAGTTTAAGGCCTGAGGCTTGGGCACTCAAACACTCAGAGGTCATAAATATATGGAAGAGCTAACAAAGAAGACTGAAAAATAGTGAGTAAAGAGAAGGAAAATCCAGGAGAGAGTTGTGTCCAGGAAGCCAAATGAAGACAATGTCTGAAGAAGAAGGGGGTGATGAGCTGTATCAAATATTGATGGAAGGTCAATTCAGATGAAGAAAGAGAACTGATCTTGCAATTCAGTAACATGGATATTAGTGACTGTACATGAACATGAATAAGCGATATATGATCATGCAGATAAAGGTTTCTTTGGAGGGTGTTTGAAGGGAGAAAATAGGAAGATAGGACTCTGAGATTGTGAGTATATACAATGAATAAGCTAGTCACATTATGTATCATGCAATTTTGTTACTGAAAAATATGTAATGAGATTCATGCTGTTCTTCATAACTCTTATTTCTTTTAATCTTTGCATATTTTTTAATTATGTGAATAAATACAAAGTGTTTAAGATGGTTGTCTAAGTAGATTTTAGCTCATGTACTTTAGTACCAAGAATTTCAATAATCCACACCCTAAGATACTAATATAAGTAATGTTTGGAAATCCAGAGATGCGGATGAAACTAAACGTTTTGAATGGTCATATGGAGACAAATGCGGACACTAGCCTGGCTGCAGTGGAAATTTCATAACGGAAATCAGTAAAAACTAAAGTCTTTCAAACTGGTCTCTCTGATTCCTCTTTTCTCTGCATTAAGACCGATATCAAGAAGGCAAACATTTCTTAACCTCACAAGAGACATCAGTTCATGTCACAGATACTTTTGCCAGAAATATATGTATATATTTAAAACATTTAGGTTACTACTATGAAACCCACTGTACCTTTTTGATTCTTTTGTGCTAAAGATTTTTGTTGTTGCTGTTGTTTTGAGATAAGAGTCTTGCTCTGCCATCCAGGCTGGAGTGCAGTAGTGCAGTCATAGCTTACTGCAGCTCGGACTTCATAGGGCCAAGTAATCCTCTCATCTCAGCCTCCCAAGTAGGTGGGACTAAAGGTTTGTATCACTACACCTTACTAATTTTTTAACAAAAAAATGTTTGTAGAGATGAGGTCTCATTGTGTTGCCCAGGCTGGTCTTGAACTCTTGGCTTCAAGCAATCTTCTTGCCTTGGTCTCCCAAAGTGCTGGGATTACAGGTGTGAGCCACCATGCCTGGCCTAAGCTAGAGACCGAAAGGCTTTTTTTTTTTTTTTTTTTTTTTTTTTAAATTTTTTTTTTTTTTTTTTTTTTTAATTTAAATTTTTATTTTTTTAGGTGGAGCCTTGCTCTAGGGCCCAGGCTGGAGTACAGTGGTGTGAACTCAGCTCACTGCAACTTCTCCCTCCCTGGTTCAAGCAATTTTCCTGCCTCAGTCTCCCAAGTAGCTGGGACTACAGGCGTACACCACCAGTTCCAGCTAATTTTTGTATATTAAGTAGACCTGGGGTTTGCCATGTTGGCCAGTGTAGGAAATTGGTCAGAGTGGTGGGAGAAACTTTCGGCATTATGTCTGTACTGAATAAAAGCAAGCAGCTCCAGCTGTTCGATGCTGCTCTCTAATGCTGTTCTCTTTGGCCATTAGAGCTAGCAGTCCGCTAGCCACTGTTCCACTGTATACCTGTGTCTGAGTACGCCTTTTATCCATTGCTCGGCCAAGTTCTGCAGGACAGAACTGGCAGGTCACGTTGTTCTCAAACTCCTGACCTCAAGTGTTCCACCCGCCTCAGTCTTGCAAAGTGCTGGGATTATAGGTATGAGCCACCATGCCCAGCTGAAAGCCCTTTTTTTAAAAGTTGTTTGAACATCACGTTGTCCATGATGAGCGTTCTTGCTTTTCTATGCTATTCTTTCTACTGTCAAAACAACTTATCTTATTTTGGAATGCTTTGTCATTGGAAACCCCATTTATTTCTGAACTCTTTCTTCAGAATGGAGCTGTCTCTCCCTAACCTCCCACATTGCACAGTTGCTGATGAGCCCTGTAATTAATGAAGATTTGCCAACAGTTGCACACTCACTGACGTTCTGAGCTTATTGAAAAAAGCAGGTGAGCAGCAGTTATTGGGCTGGGGTCTCTAACTGTATGTTGCCAATGGTCTGTAGATTGGCTATTGTCATTTTTAGTGAGAGAGTTCTGAACTCATATAAATTCAGGCTAATTATTCTTGGGAATTAAGAAATGATTTGAAATGTAGACAAAGATAAATTTTCTAAATAGAATTAGCTTCTTCTTTTGGGCATATTTAAACAATTGTAGTACAATATACTCTATGAACCTTAAAAAATGCCCAGATTATTAATTTGGGCTTGTCGATTTATATTTCAAATTGCTTATAAAATAACAACTTCTGCCTCCAGCCTCACTTTCATTGTTTCAATGCTGAGAGCTTGACCTAGAAGGATGGTTGAAATCTCAGATGCCTGTAGGAGCCAAAGAAGGAAAACAAGCAAAGCTTCTCAGTATTAGAAATCACTAGGGAGAGGTAAGAAGTGGGGAAAACTCAAGAGAGGAAGCGCTGCTGCAGTCAATTGTTGACACGTGATAATACCTGCCCAGCACTGACACTCCTCAGTTTTTTTAAGGGAAGATTTTAATATGACATAGAAATGTTGTCAACTAACTCAAAGATTTTTTTGTTGTTGTTGTTTGTTTGTTTTTTAAGCCCTCTCTAGCCCAGTGCATTGCAGGCCAAAAACAGACACTCTGCAGGCTAGGTTCAATGCCTGGTAAGCAGTTTTCCACTTATACAGCCCAGAAAGATCAATGATCATGACAATCATTTGAAACTAGTTCTTCACAAAGACTTAAAAAACAGCTGGCTGCTAATAATCTAAATGTTGTCGATTCCAAGTTGTTCTGTCCATTTTCTGTTTTGTTAAAATGTTAAATCCCAGTAGCCTGATGTTTGAAACCTGATGGTTAAAAGTAGAATGACCATATATCCTGGACTGCTGAAGACAGCCCTGGCTTAGGCTGATAGAGTTAGAACTATCAATTCTGCTCCCTTTCTTTCCCAACCTGTTCCAGTATGGACAGTCAATTATATAGACATCTTAAATTGTTCCTTTGGTCCGCTTCCTCATTTATTACTTACTTTCTTATTTGTTCTATTTAAAAAACCTGTCATGGAGAATTTTAAATGTATAAAAACAACTCTGTATAATTGTAGCACTTTAGGATGCCAAGGCAGGAGGATTGTTTGAGCTCAGGAGTTCAAGACCAGCCTGGGCTATAAAGTGAGACTCCCCACCATCTCTAAAAAAAAAAATACAGAAAATTAGCTGGGGGTGGTGGTGGCACATGCCTTCAGACTTCTTCAGTCTCAGGAGGCTGAAGTGAGAGGATTGCTGAAGCACAGGAGGTCAAGGCTGCAGTGAGCTATGATCACACTACTGTGACTCCAGCCCTAGTGACAGAGCAAAACCGTGTCTCAAAAAATAAAACAATGAATAAAAAAATTTTAAATCCCCATGTATTAATAGTTACCCAGCTTCAACAACTATCAACAAATGGCCACTCATGTTTCTTTCATACTCTCACTTTACTCCCCGTTCCTCTATTATTTTGAGAAAAATCCCATATTTTGTATCATTTCAGCCATAGTTTCTTAGTCCTTTAAATCAATTTATTCTTTGTAACAATCTACCATTAAACATTTAAATTTTAACACACTGTACTTCAAACTGTCCTTATTTTCCCCAACACCTTAACTTCCTTTTAGCCTTTTTCCTTTCTTCACTGTCCACCGTGAGCCTATGTTTTTTTCCCCCCAATCTTAGTACAGAGTACACTTCATTAGTATTTCTTGAGAACTTTTTAGAAGTTGTTAAATATTTATTGCTGCTTAGGGGGATACCAAATAATATTTGCGACTAGCAAGGACAAATAATTTTATTTTTTCTAGTCCTTCAATTGCATCTATCTTGTCAAATCTTGATTTGCTCATTGGTTTTTCTCTTGGATGATTTTTGGTGACTTTATATTATTGGCATGTTATATACTTGGAAGATTCTTCCCAGATTCCAATTCTATGAAGATCTCTTTTAACTATTGTTACTTAGATATTTTTGGTTGGGTACATGTATTCTGGTAATTATGCCTTTTGAGAAACTGAGTTGCAAATAATCAGATAAAATAAGCTTGGTCTTCAAACTTGGAAAACTTTTTCTTAACTATGATTTTAGGTTTGGGAGTACATGTGAAGATTTGTTGCATAGGTAAACACGTGTGACAGGAGTTTGTTGTACATATTTTTTCATCATCCAGGTATTAAGCCCAGTACCCAGTAGGTATCTTTTCTGCTCTTCCCCCTCCTCCCATTCCCCACCCTCAAGTAGAGCCCCGTGTCTGTTGTTTCCCTCTTTGTTAAACTTAGATAACTTTTTTAAGGACTCAAAATAATTTTATTTTGTTAGAGTTTCTTGGATTTTTGGATTAACTTTTGGATTAATTAATTTATTTATATTTATGACTGTACATTATATAATCTTTGTATATATAATTTCATAATACAAGTAATTGCTTCTTTAAATAAACCTGTTTTATTAGTTTATATTTTTTCTATTTGGGAATCCTGAGTAAAAAATCTTACGTTTGTACTGCTCTTCAATTTCCTTCTGTGTTTTATTTATATTTTTCTTTTCTAGAGATGATATTATTCAGTAACTTACATTAATATGTTCTCTTTTATTGAGTCTTACATTGTTTTTCTCTTTGCTGTATATGTTGGTAAATCTCCACTTGTACTTCCTTCCCTCACCTTATTCAATCTTCACACAGGTCCAACGTCAAAATTTTCTAAAAGTGTATGCTATATACGGCTTAATAATAACTACACTTTATCCATTTCAAACCAAACTAAATTATTAGATGTATTCTTGATGAACATATATCTCTCATACTACCAGAATCTCAATCTTTTATATCTCTGTATCAATGTGTCAGTATAGTTTGAATATGGTAGACTAACCAAATATTTGTTGACTTCAAATCTACATAGGAAAACTAAGTTCCATTTCTATGTACTTGCTGGCCATAAGTACATATGTGTTATAATTTTATACATAGTAAGGATTTAAAACATGAGCAACATTAATAGGGGTCTCAATCAATTATAGAAGTTTTAGCCATAATTCCATCAGTTTAATGTTATGGATTCTACACAGTAAATCAAACTGTTTTTATTAATCCATTTTCCTTCCCAATTGCTGCTCAACTACATAATTAGATAATTTCTGCACAGTTTAAAATATTAGCATGGCCATATTTTGTTTTAAAAATTAAGTATATTGAAGTATAATATATATACAATAAAATGCACCTATTTTAAGTGCACATTTGCAAAAGTTTCAAAAAGTTTTGACAAATTTGTATACATATGTAACAATTCCACAATCAAGATATATAAAAACATTTTGTCACTCTAATCTCAATCAGTTCTCTGAAGCCCTGGATCCAGGCAACCCTGATATGCTTTGTGTCACTAAACTAGTTTTGCCTTTTCTGGAGTTTCATATCAATGCAAACATATAATATGTATTCTTTTGCATATGGCTTCATTTGCTCCACATGATGTTGTTCTTTATATCACTATTTTATTCCTTTTTATTGCTGTGTAGTATTCAGTAGTGTGAACACACAATTTGTTTCTCCATATACTTGTTGATGGCTATTAGGGTCGTTTTCAGTTTTAAGTTGTTGGGAATAAATGTGCTACAGACATTTCGATACCAGTCTTTGTTGGGTACCTATTGTCATTGGGGGCCACTAGATGTTTTAGTGTTGAATTGTTGGTTGATATATTAAGTATAGGTTTAATTTTGTGAAAACTACAAAAATGTACCATTTAAATTTTTTACCAAAACTATAATAGAGTACTGGTTGCTTACACCTTCATATGGCATATAATGATTTTTATTTTTCCTATTTAATATCATTTTGTAGTGCTTTTTAGTTTTCATGATCCTTAAATATATTTGGAAAAATACATACATATGTGTGCGTGTATATATATATATATATATTTAATTGAAAAAAGGATATTACAATGTAAAGGATTTTTTTTTCTAGTTATTGATACAAGTATCTGTAGCCTTACTGCACCTACAAATTTTTTGGCCAAGACAGGCTTTGGTTAATATTTGGAAACAAGTAAAGATTTTGCTTCAAATCTCCTCTTTCCTCTTGGAGTTCGTGTCTGTTTTCTGCACCTTATTATTGCAATGTGGCCTGTCATTCTAAGTCCAACCTCTACCTCAATTTTTTATCACTTTAGGACAAAAGGTTTTTACATTTTATACTCCTGATTTTGTATTAAATGTGCCTTAGTGGAGACAATTTAATTTTATACTCCTGATTTTGTATTTAATGTGCCCTAGTGGACAGAATTCAAATGCATATATATACATTCAACATATTTAATATATTAAAAATATTATATATTTACTTATATTTTATATTTATTTAAATACATTATATTTAAATATATAACATATTTAAATATTATAAGTATATAAGTTAAATATTATAAGTATATAATATTTAAATATATTCAACATGTTTAATATCTCAACTATATATATTCAGCACATTACATATATATAAATATATAAAGATGAAAAGCTTCTTAATCATTTGTTGTTTAAAGATATATCTCTTCTACTTGTAAAGCTGACCCTGACAATGCATTTGGTCATTTCTAGATTTTCTCTGAGTTTTGCAGGTGTCTTCTACTCTTACAAGGACTGCAAGAAAGGACAAAGCAATGAGAGAGAGAGAGAGAGAGAGAAAGAAAGAGAGAGAGAGAGAGTGTGTGTGTGTGTATGTGTGTGTGTACCAACATGTGTTTTACTTCCCTGGGAAAAGGAGGTCTGTCTCCAATACCTTCATAGTATTCCACAGTGAGATCAGTTAGGAATGAGTTTCCTACTTTTTGAAACTTTCTAAATTGTCTAGTCCTTGTATATGTCCTGCTCTGCCTGGCTAGGCAGACGGAGTGTAAGCTTGATGTGTTTCCCTGCCAGAGTGACCGTTCATTCTCCCAGGTGTTTTGAATTAGGTACTTCAGTCCTCAATCACTCAGTCACAATTCTTAGTCAGACTAGGTTACAGCCAAGCAGTTAGCCTCAGGGCATGGCCAAGCTCAAGTTCAGCTTATTGGCATCAACCTGAGGCACGTCTTTTGTTTCTGTTCTCATAGTTATGTTAGGAAACTGCAGAATTCAGGCTACTTTTAAAAAATCAATTGCTTTCTCCCCCAAAACTTTTACTTTGGAACAGGTAGAAAGGGTCAGAATTTACAGTTAAATACACTCTCCTTTGTGCATATATGTAAGTATGATTGTACATATGCTTTCTTCATTCGTTCATTTATTTGCTGTTGATAAAAGAGATAAAGGGTATAATATAACTTTAAACAACACAAGAGAGTACAAAACTGAAAGTTAAGACCCTCTACCTTAGGTGTCTAAACTTCTCTCCCAA